ATTTGGGATCAAATGCAAGCAATTGTGGAGCCACGGTAATTGCCAATCAAGGGTGTTGGAGCTTTCTCAAGGGAGGTTTTTTCTTAAATGACGCTCTAAACACATCTGTCGTCCATTTTGAGGTGTTACTTACTGTCTAATTAATTACTTTTATTAGACAACTCAACCCGATTTGATTAACACATACACATATATCTTGAACCAAATAGAAATGTAATTTTATCATTAGCTTAGCAAGAAAATGTGGTGTTTTTCAAAAACAAATGTGGTGACATTTATTAAAATAATGTGCACTGAAAATAATCTTTGTAGGGATGTGAATTGTGAATATTCAACGTTGTCATCTTTTATTGTATGATATCGAATATCGATCGTTGTAATAACATCTTATTCATGAAATTCTATCTTTCAATAAGTAAATAAATACATGCTTAATTAGGGGCATAGTCAGATTATATATTGAGCTAGTGTGGTGTGACGAACTTTTTTAAATAGATTTTCACACAAAATTTTAAACTAATCTCTAAGGATTTTTTGAAATTTGTGTTGGGGGTAGGACCTAGCGTGCTCCCCTTCTCAGCCCTTGAGTTTTATGGACATATGTTTATACTTGCGTTTTGAAGAAAAGATCCTGACTCACATACATATTTATGTCACATGAAGTCTAGTTTTGACTTTCCAAATATACATACTACTCTTGTTTTATGTCAAAATCAAGCAAAAGTAGACTAATGTTAAGAAAACAAATGTGCCTTTTTGAATAAGAGCCCATTTGGTAATAACCAAATCATCTGAATCAGTTGATTTTGTTGAAATTTATGAAGTTCTGACTGAAAAATAGTTAAAGTAATCCTTTACGGTAACTTCGGCCAATACAGTTACAAAAATAACTTCAATCTTACTTTTTGTTATTACACATATTACATAATTCAACATGAGAAATCAAAGTTACATGTTTAAAAAAATTAGGTTAGCTGATAAACCTCTTACCTCTGGACTGAAAAACAGGGTGACCAACGGGCTAAAAATGGTTTAATTTTATGATGCTTTAACTTGGTAGGATTTCAGTGGGAATAATATCCATATAGATGTGGCGAGTAGCTCACTGCAGCAATTCTCAGAAGAAGAATGGGCAGCACAGCAACAGGATATGATCGAGAAGGTAACCAATTGATTGTATATCATCACAAATAGTAACAGAATTAATTGTCCTATAATTATTAATTGTATATCATATCATTACAAAATAGCTTCCTTCCTTCACAAGAGTACAAATTAAATATTATGGGTGCAGGTAAGAAAACGTAAGGGTGTAATTACATTCTCAAATCAACAAGGGCTTAAACTACAAGGAGCCAACATCACTGTGGAGCAAATTTCCTCAGCCTTTCCCTTCGGAACAGCAATCTCAAAAGCCATCCTTTCAAACGTTCACTATCAGGTTATCCATCTCCATAACGTTTTGTTGCTATTGTGTGCTAAATTATTGAAGAGGATGTGAAAATGGAATCACTATTTACAGCTTTAATAAATCATCAAAGTCAACTTGATTAATGCATAAACATGGTTCAAACCTAAAGTGGAGCTAAGGGGGCTTGGGGTTTGTTTTTGAACTTTTTTAAGTGATTTGGGTAAAAGTGATTAATAGTAAAAGTTGGTAGTGTTTGCGAAAAAAAGTGATTTTGAAAAGTAAAAGTTGGTAGAGTTTGGTAAAATAAGTGCTTTTTGTGTAATAGAAAAAGTAAAAACATATTCTAACTTTTAACTTTTAAGTAATAAATTTAAGTAGAAGTTGTCATTCGAAAACACTCTTTTTAGCTTTTTAAGCCAAAAACTGTGAAGTGTTTTTTTTAGAGTTTGCAAACAAAGCCATAGATGGCCTCGTGAAAGCTTGTGATAAAGAACCTTTGATTTGATCTGTGATGGCTATGGTAAATTGGTAACTCATTATAAGTCAAAAGCTATCACTTCTAAAAAACCAGAAATTATCTAAATTTGAAATGATTGAAATTTGATCTTAATAATAATTATATCTCTAAATTCTCAAAATAATAATCTTATTTACTACTATCAATTACATACTCCGTATGTTCTTTTTACGTTTCATTTAAATTAATGTTTACCTCACTCACATAAGTACCTGAATGCTACATGACAAAGTTTTGACACCTAACTTGTTTTTCTAGTTCGGCCAGTAAAGGTAGTAGCATTCCATTGTAATATGGCACTGTACCCTAGCTACTTTAGTGCATTAGTCCCTAGAAATCGGATCAACTTAGATGAAATCAAGGGAGTACACGAAATTGTAGTTCAAAGAAGTACTACGTATTACATTAACCACAGTGAATGTAGTAAATGTTCGTGACAATGAAAGTTGAACTTGATAAACATAATAAATTACTTATGAAAACCTCCTAAACTTTCAATTCAAATCATCTTCAACACTGAAATGTTAGGTGAAAATCTTAAATAACTATATACAACAAAATATACTCTTTTATAAACAATGAAAATTCATCAATATATTATTACAGGGCGGCCCTGATAGTTTCAAAGCCTAGGGGCAAATAGTTTATAATGGACCTAATTTTATAAAAAATATATTAAAAAATATTTTTTGTCTAATCTAATGCATAAAAATAATACTTCAAAAATTGTATAATAAAGAAAAGACTTTTATAATTCGCCATATGAAGCAAGTAAAATTATAGTTAGAGAACATTTTTGTTACACCTTGAAATTTATTATTTATAAATTTAATGAAAATCCATTTTTCTACTAAAAAATTTTTAAACTATCACGGAATGATTTAATTTTATCATCCATAAACCTTAAAATTCAAAAATTGCAACTCAAATCAGGACAGAGGAAGTATAAATGTGAATTTGCGATTTCACGATCAATGAGTCAAAAACTAGGTGACCAATCAACGAAAATGTAAATTCAATGAAAACTAAAAAGGGTGAAAAGCTATGATAAGTGATCTTGAAATAAGTAAGTAGAGCATAAATGCAAAATATACAAGGACTTAAGAGTAATAAAGGATATAAACGACTCCAGGTTATCAGAAGTTAGAATCCTATGTTCGGATTAGGAAGGATAAAAAGCTCAAGAAGTTGATGTATCAACTATCTATGGTCTATTGATCGAGTATTGACTGATGGAAGTTTATAATGAGGAATTGGAATATGGAGGTGTTAACTTTGAAGCACTGAGGGCCTAAATGGCGGTTCAGTGCTAGGCACCAACCTAGCACAGAGTCGTGTTTTTTTTTAGAAAAAATGTTTATGCTTTCAGAAGTCTTTTCCTTATGTCGCACGAAGTTAGTGGATATAGGCAAAAAAACTCAGCCTACTCACTCTTAATACAAAGTCTTAAGATTGGGCCTAAATTTTTTACACTTTTTTTGGGCCTAGGGCGCCCGCGGCCCGCCCCTGCTGCACCTTCCCCTAGGGCCGCCCCTGAATATATAAGAATGGTGCACTTAAGTAAAAAAAACATTTTTTGTATGCATGGGCAGAGCTAGGGGCGTGATAGGCCTGACCCATCCTAAATTAAAATAATTTAAATATTAGTGTAAAAATTATATTAAATTTTTTTCAAGAGAAATCTTTGTACACAGCACACTTTGAACCAAGTGAGCCATTGTTTGTGGTAGTTCAATATTTCAATATAAAGAATAGTTAAAATAATTATTTACAGTAATTTAAGTCAATTTAGCCGAACAACTAATTATGAAATTGTCATTTTTAATTAGCACACAATTCAATGCGAGAAATCATACATTAATTGTTTGGAAAAAGTTGTCTAATAAGACTGAAAAAATAAGGTTACCAAACGGGCTCTAAATTTGATAAAAAAAAATATATAACTGTTTTTAATTGAACTAATTTTGGTCATAAATCAAATCATATTTAAACAGATTAGACTTGAATTCCATAATTATAAAATGCATATAGGTTCTCTTCATAAATTCAATAACATAGTATAATAAAGATTTCAAATACAAGTGCTTTTCAGAATTTGATTATTCATATTTTTTGAAGTGTTATGAGAAAAGCAACACATAGGGTTCTCTTCATAAATAACATTAGCTGAAATACTTGAATTATGAAAAAAACAACATAATTCAAGAAGAATTATATAGAGCATGTTTGGTGACACAGATTTTCAGACGAAGTTAACCAAACACGTAACTTTTGATTTTGTGCGCTGAATTGTGTAATAATAAGAAAAGGTAAGTTTGAAGTTACTTTTCTGACTGTATTGACTGAAGTTACTGGAATGACCATTTTAACTATATTTTCATATAACTTTTTCTTTATTTTATGGATTTTTTCTTTAAAATATTACTAAAATAAAACTCATGTACAACCAATTTGGAAGACGGGGCGGGCCGGACCTACCCCAAATGTCTCGGGCCAGGGCGGGTCACTGCGGGTCGGGTTTTTTTGACATCAGGCTCATAGAGTTTTTTATTTTTATTTTTGAAATGAATTATATGGACTATGGAGTATGCAAAGAAGAAAAAACTACATTGCCTTCTTTACGAAAAAGAAAATTAACTATATTTGCAACGGTTTGCAGGAGTGGTTCTTGAGGAAGAAATTCGGGGTGACAGTCTTCGAGAACGAGCTAAAATGGCCATCGACCGAGCCGTTCCAGGGCAGAACAAACTACACCATCTCCGACCAGATGCTAGACTTCGCCCTGAAGAACAACATCCTCTGCCGAGGCCACAACGTGCTCTGGCAGGACCCCAATTTCCTACCGTCCTGGGTTCGCAACCTGTCGGCGTCGCCGGAGCTTCTCAAACAGGCGGCGGACGACCGCATCCGCAGCGTCGTGGGGCATTACCGGAACAAGCTCATCCACTGGGACGTCAACAACGAGATGCTTCACTACGCCTTCTACGAGGAATCGCTGCGGAATCCAAACGCGTCCTTGGAATTCTACAAATTGGCGCAGGAGACCGACCCGAATGTCACCCTGTTCTTCAACGATTTCAAGGTCGTCGAGTCCTGCGGCTCCCGGAGCAACGTCGACGCGTACGTCGCGAAGATCGCCGAGTTCCGGCGGAGCGGGATCCGGAATCTCGGGATGGGATTGGAAGGGCATTTCTTCAATTCGCCGAATCCGGTTTACACCAGATCCGTTCTCGACAAATTCGCAACCCTAGGGGTCCCGATTTGGATCACCGAAGCCGATACGAGCGGGAAATTCGGCCCGGAGAAACAGGCGGTGCATCTGGAGATGGTTTTGAGGGAACTGTTCTCGCATCCCGCCGTGGACGGAATCGTACTCTGGGCGGCGATGAGCACCGCCGGGTCGTGCTGGCAAATGTGCCTCACCGACGGAGACTTCAATAACACGCTCGCCGGAGACGTCGTCGATAAGCTCCTCGGAGAGTGGCATACCGGCACGGTCACCGGTGTTACGGACAGCGGTGGTTCTTTTAACTTCTCCGGCTTCCTTGGAACGTATAAAGTGAGAGTTGAAATTCCTTCGAAGAATTCGGAGACTGTGATTTCGCTCACCAAAGGCGGTGGACCTCTCACCTTCCAAATCCATATCTAAAAAACTCTACTTAGCTTGTTGTATTAAAAAATTTAAAAAAATGATTTAAAAAATGATTTTTTTTCTCTGCATGCAAGAGGTTTTTCTTTTGGATGAGACTATGCTCGCCCAATATTAATTTTTTAGCATCATAAATTTATAAGCTTGGTTGAACATGTTTCATTCTCACATTAGACCCGACCAAATTACACACTATTAATATTGAAATTGTTGAAATACTATTGAATTAGTCATCTTCTAACTATTCCTGATTAGGAATTATTATCACCATTACATAAATAATTAGGAAATCATAATTATGATTTCAAGGTGATAAATGTGTGGCTCACAATGATTTCTTAATCTCATTGAGCTCACACTTTCTCATATAAATAGGAGTCATTCTCATTGTAATTAACACAACATTACAACACCATTATCACACTCAATAACACAATTATCACTAAGTGTTTATACTATACTTTCTCTCTCTGATCTTCTGCTTATTTGCTTCCATATTATAACACGTTATCAGCACAAATTTGCTCCAAATCCTTGAAATCATCATCTTCCCAGCAGGTATATATTTTCAGAAATTTATCAATTCATCTGAAAAGAAAATCAAATGTTGAGAAGTATGAACACGTTTAAATATATTCAAAACTATAAGAAGTATAATCTATGGTTGTCCAACTATTGGGATCCTCCGTATCAGAAAATTATAGCTATATTTACATACCTTAACTAGATCCAAACATTTTCTTTATGGATCTTCCCTTCTAAAATAATATTTTTAATTTTCTCTCCGCAGAATGAAATAGATAAGTATATAGGTCAGATTGAAATATACGTATTTTTGTATGAGATATGAGAATTAAAACTAATACATGGAGTATACACACATATCTCAACTAATAAGAGAGATAGAGTAAGTACTTATCTGCCAAATTGCTCTTTGTATTTATGACCCACAAAGACCATATATTTTATGAGCATGAGAGACTATGAGCATACGAAATATAAAAGAAAATGTAATACTGGTAAAGAAAGAGAAGAGATGATGGATGTTAAAAGAAAGAGTAGAAGTGGTTAATCTACGGGAAAAAAAGTTTTTAACGAGACAGTACATTATAATACTATAAAACTAATACCCCAGAATAATTAGAAGATGACCATTCAAGGGGAGTGTTGAAATATTATTGAATTAGTCATCTTCTAACTATTCCTGATTAGGAATTATTATCACCATTACATAAATAATTAGGAAATCATAATTATGATTTCAAGGTGATAAATGTGTGGTTCACAATGATCTCCTAATCTCATTGAGCTCACACTTTCTCCTATAAATTGGAGTCATTCTCATTGTAATTAACACAACATTACAACACCATTATCACGCTCTCAACAACGCAATTATCACTAAGTGTTTATACTATACTTTCTCTCCCTGGTCTTCTGCTTATTTCCTTCCATATTATAACAAAAATAGATTTAAACAAATCAAGTCATATCAAAATATATTTGGTGAGAGTTACACAATGACATAATAAATAGGCTAAAAGGTCAAAATAAGCTCATGTACATGTATGTAATGTTCAATTTGTCTCCTAAACTAAAAGAAAGCTCAATTGGTATTTGAAATCGCTAAGAACATTCCACTTTCACTTTTCAGAAAATGACCTGATTATTGGCGCATCACCTTAAAAGATGTCAATTGTGCATCTAACGTGGCAAATTAAGGGTCGAATGAGCCCCTAAACCTGATTGATTGATTTAATTCACCACTTCAACCATTTAACAGTATCAAAAGTACAAGAAAGATAAAAAAAATACATATACAAAATAAAATATCATACAAGTTGAAAATTTAAATTACAAATATGAGTTAAGTGAACAATAGCAAAGTGTGATTTCGATGGATTTAAATGGTATAAATGCATTTGAATATTGTTTGATTGTTATTTGATTATGTGAAATGATAAATGGACTTATATGTGTGAATTATAAAATGATGATGCATGAGGGGATAAATCATTGACATGTTGTGATTAATAAATTGATATGAATTCTTAGTGATTACTGGTGAATTTCTCAATTTCTATTCAAAATATTGAATAAGATAGGTATGTATTGGAAATGAGCTATGGAATGCGATCATTCTCAGTTGAAACGAGGAAGGCGTGTAGGTTGATATGGGACAGTTCGACTAGTCTTGATGAGTCTAGCCCGAGGTTATATGATATGAAATTATGAATTGAATATGATATGATATACTTTGTTGTACTAATCCTCTCCTTAATAGCACTACAATCCCACAAATGAAATTCCCGCTCACCCGAACTTACATTAACATCCGTCCGATTCTCATCAACCAAATCCATCGCTTCCAATTCCTTTTACCTCTCTTCCGTTGCTTTTTCTTTCTTCTTCTTCTTAGCATCCGTTTCTTTTCCTTTCTTCTTCCCAAATCGAAGGAAGCTTCGTCAAATTGTTGGGAAGTCCACCTACAACCATCTGCCCGGAATCAGCATCGTTCTTTTAGATGGAATCATCTTCCCAAAATCATCCGAAAAAGGAGATTTCTTCTTTCAGATTCGTTCTTCAACCACTTGGTATGTGCCTATGTTCATCCATCTCTGTCGAAAATGAGTCATCTATTTCAGTCTGGGAAATCCAACGAATTCAAATTGAGTTGGAGGTAAATTATTTTTCTAAATCATAGTATCCATCTTTGATTTTTAGAAAATTGAGTTGAAGTTAATCAATGTCTTCCTGCCAACCCGTTATATTGACTGACATATACATAGAATATTCTGATTTAGGCTCTTTTTTAATTCTAGCTTGAGCCTTATCAACAGCCTTGACTGAAAAATTGAAGCATAATTGTATTAGCTCAAGTAGCTCTTTATGAATTGTTTTCACCACTATAAAAGTGCGGAGCAGTACTTTGTAGGTAAAGTGAAATACGTGAACATTACAAGTAGATGTTAGGGTTTTTAATGGGCTTAGACGCTTAGTGACTGATTAGTAAAAAAAAATTGAACCAATATGACTCTTATTTGAAAATAAATAAGCCTCAGATAAAACTTATAACAAAAACTTGTGAGGAGTAAGCTTCACAATATGCATTGCAGGTTGCACACCACGAATATGAGGCAGATGAGCCTAAGATAACTGATTTTCCAGGCTCCTGAGGAAGCTTGGTATTACCTAAGAAATACCTGGAATTCAATAGACCTATTTGTCATAATGTCATGAGACCTATTTCTCCTTTTACAACAGGATTGAGCTTTACCAAGTGTTTGATTTAAAGATCAAGTGGGTTTATAATCTGTATATGGTCTAAGTTCATCTAATTTTGTATTAAACTTTTTTCTGTTATGGTAGTGAGGAGATCGATGCACCAAGCACCTCCAGTTGATCACACATTTCTTTTCCAAAGAAAGTCTTTGCTTCAGGAGGTTAAACAACTGGTATGTATATATAACACTTGAGATAAACACCTGGAATATAGCAACCTTGCATATGAAGCATAATTTAAATTTATTGTTATGTTTTTGGCACCAACAGATGGAACCGATGAGATTGTTAATCCTTTTTGTATCCAGATAGTGGTTAATTCCATAATTCCATCATTCCTTATATATTCACATTGGGCTCAGTTTTAAATCCATTCATTTGGTTAAATGTTTTAAATGCAAGTACAAGGGGATTCTTAAAAAAACAGCTTTTTACTATACCATGTCAAACACAGTGGGTAAAATTCCGGAGAAACAAGCACTTCAGATCAATAGTCAATATTCATATTTTTTCAATTTTTCTTAGACCATATTTAACTGATTCATTTGGTTAAATGTTTAAAATTCATGTACGGAGGAATTCTAAAGAAATACTCCCTCCGTCCCCCTAAGTTTGGGACGGAGGGGTGTGGTGTGGTTTTTAAGAAAAAGTGGAATTGTGTGGTTGGTATTGAATTGATAAAGTGTAAATAAAGTAAGAATGAATTCTAACCACTCAAATGTTACCAAATATGGTATGGGACAAACTTAGTGGGACGGACGTAAAAGGTAAAACGGGACAAACTTAAGGGGACGGAGGGAGTAGCTTTTTACTATACCATGTCAAACACGGTGTGTAAAAATCCTGAGAAACAAGCACCTCAGATCAATAGTCAATATTCATATTTTCTTGATTTTTCTTAGACCATATCCAACTGATTCATTTGGTTAAATGTTTAGAATGCAAGTACTGGGGGATTCTAAAAAAATAGCTTTTTACTATACCATGTCAAACACGGTGTGTGAAAATCCTAAGAAACAAGCACTTCAGATCAATACTCAATATTCATATTTTTTCGATTTTTCTTAGACCATATTGTACTGATTCATTTGGTTAAATGTTTTAAATGCAAGTACCGGGGGGTTCTCAAAAAATACTCCGTGAAACAAGCACTTCAAATCAATTTTTCATAATAATATTTTTTCAATGAGATTTTCTTTGACCCCATTTTACTGATTCTTTGGTATTCAAACAATATTTTCTTTTTTCCTTCTTTGTGACTTTATTCTATTGATCTTAGATTCTTGACATTATTTCTGAGTCATTTCTGATTTCAAACGTTAGTTGATCATAATGTTACCTTTTGTTGGAATTTTTTCAAAGCTGGAAACTTTATTTACTTTCATTTCATTTAAGTGGTTGCTATTACAGGTTGAGAAGAATTAGCTTTGGAATGATCAAGAAGCAAAAACTAACATCAGGGAGAGACAAACTTGAGCAACAACTAAAAGCTTTGAACTCATATCATGCACTTTTGCCATACTATCTTCCTACACCCCATCAAGTAGTAGACTGCGAGATGGTTCCATTGGTTGCCTGCTAAGGAATTCAAAAGGTACAATTTGTGTCTTCCTCCTCATATATGAAAGACAGTCTGCCTCTCTTCCATTTGCTTAACCTCATTAGGAACGGGTATATTTTAGAGAATAAATTCAGTCTTAAAAGATTTTAAAGCAGTGTTGGAAAGCGAAACTTGGTCATTCTTTAGTTAAATGGAATGAGATTGTTAGTGTACGATGGACTCTGCTCTTGATATCATTCTTTTTAAATGATAAAGGGATAGGGGGCTGTGGAATATATCTACTCAGTTTATTCTCTATCTGAGCTTTCAAGTCTACTTTTTGTAGGTAATACTTGGATAAACAGTTTGCGTTATCTTAAACTGCATCACAAAATGTCAATTCACCTTGGGAAAATATCTTCATTGCGTTATTTTAGAGAGAGGCGGCAGTTTAGACCGGCGGCAGAGTGCTGGAAGGAGCTGCCGATTACGAAGACCTATGGGCTGATGGGCTGAGGGTTGGGTCGAACTGATTTTGGGAAAGGGGAGAAGGATGCAAGTTTTATGAATCTATTTGCTGCTTTGATCACGCACACCCGCAGCAAATACTAATCTAAAAAAATATTAGTTTTTGGCTGCTTCTTTTAAGGAACAATCGTTGCGGTTTATGGAGACCCGCAACAAATACTTCATCATTACTTGTGTATCACCATCTAATAAAACAATCTTTATCTCAAAGGTATGCTCTCTATTTTTTACTTAAATGTAGTTTTCTTCTGAGAAGCCAGGTTGGCGGCGTGATAAGCCTCTCTAACTAATCTATGGCTTGACTGAGACATAACAATAAGGTTACTTTTTGTCCCCTGAAATATATCTGAGAAATAAATGCTAAAGGCTGAGGTTTGTGAGTGACAGACTGTTTGGTACATTTTGTTTGGGTCATTTGGTTTGCCAGATGGTAAACCTGCTCATCTCACCTCATTATGGTTATTATTTCTTTTATTAATGTTGCCTAATTGTACAATGTGCAGTAAGGGTACAATGTACAGTAAGGGTATCAATGTTTTAGTAACATAAATAAACTTCACACATAGGACTGTCATTGTTTTCATCCTAAAATAGGACTCATTCATGCACTCCTAATATGAGAAGTTTTGTACTTTTAATAGGATCAAGTAAGTCCTATTTCGGGAATAAAATACATGTAGTCCTATTTGGGCATCGTGTCTACGTTTTAGTCTTATTTAGTGCAATTTCTAAAAAGTTTTATAATTGAATATATCCTCACATTTTCCTCTTGTGCAGACTGAATTGGTGATTCACGCTCATCTAACGCATGAAACGTCACCTCAAATAAATATGTAGCGGGATTTGAGACGCGTTCTTCAAATTGCTTCACTGGGAGTTGTTCAATTTTTGCATTTTTCCTAAACTTAGGGATTGACTTTAATTAAATTGCTAGGAAGGTTTTCTAATTCAATGGACTTATTAATTCCCTAACAGTGTAAGTTGAGAAGTTGGTGCCTGGGGTAGATGATAAGTCTTGCTGAAATGGTTAATATGAAGGCTGCCTGCAGAGTTTCATATAGTAATTTGGATTATATAGCCTCTGTATTGTAAGGTGTTTTCATGATATAAAAACTTTGATGAGAGAAATCATAGATGCCAAATCATGATGACGTAAAGGCATACTTACACTCTAATTAAGCATCTTTTTCTTATTAGGATATTGTACTCCTTCATTTTCATTCTCTAGAATTTCTTAATATCATTAAATGTATGGGTGTGCCAAGTTATGAGCTCAAATAAAAATGAGTGTGCCTCTGATGCTTATGACAAATATTGATCAGTGTTGATTGTTGAATTATGCAAATGGTATGAGACACTTAGTGTTTCTAAAAACTTTTAAAGAACTTTGAAGTTGAATTGAGTGCTTTATGGTGACGGCTTAAATTAAGTACTTAAAAGAGAAAAGCTTGAGCATATGGATAGATGTTTTAAACTATTTTTCACTATTTCTACTACACCAAAACACGGACATTACCAAACACCATCAATTTTTCCCTTTTTAAATAGTTTTTTTCTTCAACACTACAAACGTTTACTATAAGTACATTTTCTAAAATTACTTTAAAAAGGCACTTTTCTAAAATACAAGCAATCAAAAACATTCCTTTACTAACTAATTTTGACACCCATTATTCAGGCTTATATGATTTTAGCATGGACTGTAATGCGAAGTCGCGAAGACAATAAGTAAGAATCAGGGCTTGGGGCAGTAGTTAATCGACCGATTCGGTGGCAGTAGTTAGAAAGGGTTGGTGTTTCCTTACAACACCCATTTCTTATTAATGACTTTATTTGGATTGAAGTTCATATGTGACAATAATGGTCGACTTAGCGATATTACTTCGAGTGTTGTTTACAAAGAAGTGTATAATAACAATATATAGTTCTCTAATGTTTCCTTTTTAAGATATTAAATTATACAAATCTAACACATAAGATACAATTATATACTCCCTCCGTCCCGTAAATAAGTTCTCACTTTCCTTTTTTAGGAGTCCCAAAAAGAAATTCTCATTTCCCTAAATGGAAAGTTATTCTACATAAAAACAGTGCCAAACAGTGCAAAACAGTGTCAAACAGTGTCAAACAGTGTCGAAACAGTAAAACTTACCCTCTGGAAAGTTTATTTCCTTAATATGTGTGTAATTTAAACTGTGAACATCTTTGCGGGACGGAGGTAGTATTAAATAAAAGAGTTACTTAATGGATGATACATCCGTCTCATTTGATGTGTCCTACTTTACTTGGCATAACAACACAATTACTAATAAAGTCATTGAAAAATTAAAAGTTAGGATATATATTTGAGTATAATAAAATAAAATGTTATAGACTTATTTGATTATAACAAAATGAAATGTTGTAGACCACATATTTATTTCCAAAAAAAAAATATGATACTTATTTTGTGATAATTCAAAACGGAAAGCAAAATGAGACATAAAGAGTAGATGTTTTTCCCGTGCAACGCACGGGTCAAATACTAGTTGATTTTATAGTCAAATGAGGATATAGATGATACTCATATATGCTACGCGAGGTGTGCGTATTAACACGAGGTGTTTACCTATAGACAATATTCACATATGATACGCGAGGTGTGTAATCTCTGAATTATATTCGTATATAATATTTCTTTCAAAGCTGGTTGATGTGGGTGAATTTTACACATAGGTTAAATTGTAGATTACTTTAACATTTACTTTTCATCATGCAACTATTAAGAACTTGTTTGGTAACTAATATTTTCAGCTTATCAGTTGTTTTTGTTTATCATACCACATAACTCTTTATTTTACGCTCTAAAGTATAATCTCCTATCACACAAAACTTGGCCAACTTTGGCTTGTACGTAGAAAAATAAAAACGGTGTGATTGAGACTTGTGCAGAGGATAAAGAAACTAGTTTAACCACATATTCATCACTATAAAGAAAATTGACAACGATTTTTGGAATGGTAGGAAAAAGAAATTTAGCCAAGCTTTGTGGAATGAATGAAGTAGAGTTATGTGGCTGATAATAAGTTGATTAAGTGGGAATACAGTAAGAAAGAATTAGAGACACAAAAATTTTGCCAAATATAATATGGGACAGAATTAGTGGGACAAACGAAAATGGAAAAATAAGACAATTATAGTTGGACGGAGAGAGTACTCAACATAAGTGATTGAGTTGACTTAAATTACTTTAAAAGATCATTGTATTTATTTTCATAAGGGTTTATCTTTATTTATCATTACAAAAAAGTTAAATATAATATTCCCTTAAATCAACAAATTAGTGAAGCCGATCGATTCGGGTAGAATTTCACCGGTTTCAATATATTCAACTCATTTAACCATTTTCAATGCTACCATATAATGGATACAAAAATATATTTCTTTCGTTCACCAAAACATGACCGAAATTGGCTGACACGAGTAATAATAAATCAAACACTGTATAGTTGAAGTTTGTGTAGAAAAGAGAGAATTGACATGAACTAAAAATTCTTTAATTAAATGGAAAAATGAAGAAATTAATGAAACAATCAAAAAACAAAGTAAGCAAATTTTTAAGAGCGAGGAGTACAATTTAAAATCGGGAAAAGGTGCAAATAGGCCCTTGTACTAACCAAAAAAGGTCAAATAAGCCCTTATTTAGGAAGTTTTGTCCGGCCGTCATCATTTGAGGTAGTTCCCGGTGGAATTTTTTGATGAAATTTTTTAAGCATCTTATTCATTAAGTCTAGTTTACTCATACCAAATTTCAGCTAAAACTTCAATCGGGAAGGCATTCAAATGAATTCTTGAAAATAACTGCGCAGTTAGAAGCGCAGTTATCTTCAAGAATTCATTTGAATGCCTTCCCGATTGAAGTTTTAGCTGAAATTTGGTATGAGTAAACTAGACTTAATGAATAAGATGCTCAAACAATTTCATCAAAAAATTCCACCGGGAACCACTCCAAATGGCGAGGGCCGGACAGAGACTCCTAAATAAGGGCTTATTTGACCTTTTTTGGTTAGTACATGGACCTATTTGCACCTTTTCCCTTTAAAATCTGTCAATTTAAAGTTATTGGCCCAAATTATTTGATCCGATCCAATTAGAGAATCACATGCTCAAGAACTAGATTCCGGAATAACCAATTTATCCGATTTACCATCTCTACCGCTCATCCCTCCGTTTCGAGCTCTTCTTCCCCTCAGGTCGGACGCAGTCTACGCCACGCCAGTTCGTATAGTATCCCGAGGTTAGTCGACTGTGAACACTTGTCACATCACGATGATGTCATATCGACGTCAGCATTGTCAGGCTGGAACCGTTATCCCAGGCGGTCCAGCTTTTATACGTACACAGATAGACACCTGAATTCTGGATCATGGAAGTTAACATTGTTCAATGTTCTTGCTGGACTGAACCTTTTTGTGCTTGTAAATTAGGATATTTACCCGTTTTCTAGTGGAGTGACAGAGAGGATGGTTAATTTGTAAATGTTAGTGCACAACTGATACTCTAGGAATCTAGGGTTTGATGGATTGCCGTATATCAAGTTATCATAAAAGCTAGTGTGTAGGATTGGCGATAAAGTGATATAATGACCAAATGTGTATACCAATTTGGCATCTCATAATTTTTTTTTTCCAATTTGGCATCTCAGTAATTCTCTTTTTATGCTATAGATACGTTCTTGTCAGTTTCTCTTAGGGAGTTGTGGAGAATATTTGGAATTTAGAGATTGCGTCTTACTCCATCCCTCCCCATAAAACATGTATTGTTCATAACACTATTTCAGTTCTAAATACATGACATTTGGTTTTTTTTGGACGGAGTTAGTAAGGGTTTATAACCTTCCATAAGCGTAAGATTTATGAGAGTATACTTACACTGTGTAGTGTGTACTTTACTCCCTCTGTTACATTTTAGCAGTCTCTACTGCTTCTTGCATGGATATTGGTGAAACATACATATTTCGTTAATTTTATATTTTACCATAAAAATGTAGGGTACTTTTTGTGAAAAGGCAGGTAAATGCCTTAAAATGTCAAAACAATAAAGTGTAAGTATCTTCTAGGTACCTGAAATGTGAGTGCAAGTTTAGTTGAGAATTGTTACTAATTTTGATTTTGTTGAATACTTGAATCAGATGGCAAAATAGTTACTAGTACCTTTAAACTGAAGTCCATTTAAATTTCATTTTGTTATTGTACAAAGCATGATGGATTTGTCAAATCCTGCGGTGTTTGTCAATGCTGAGATATTATGTATGCACGTGGGACGGAGGGTTCGGGCAGTGATTCAGGTTATTCGCTCTGATGGTGGCACAGTGACTGGAAAATCAACAGATGAGCAGCAGATATTCATCAAAGGTGTTGCTCCTGGTCCACTCTCCACATTTGTTGAGGTTATTGGCATTGCCGATAGTCCCCAATCAATCCGTGCTGATATATGGACCAACTTTGGGGACACACTCGGTATTCCTTCTGATCCTTTCATTAAACATATATCAATGCTTATGTAATTCAGTGATAAACGTTGGAGTTTAATCAATTTGGTCAGCCAATACTAGCCTATCAGTGCCTTTATCGAATTTTAAGTTGCTATAAGAAATTTATTCTTTCAATTTTAGATTCGGTGAATTAAAATTTGTTTATCAACTGAGTACTATGGAGTAAGATACTAAAAGCAAGCTTCCCAGAATTTCTGCTACTTTTTTGTGAAAATGTTGATATTATTTGATCAGATATATGATTATGAATACACACGAACACTGACTACTAGTCCTTTTTACTAAATAATCACACTATACCTCACATCTTTCTGTGTTTTTCATGCTTAATTAGTACATGCAACTTAGGCCTTTTGAGGACTCAAATTGAAATCAACATAAGTCTTTGATTGACATACCATTTGTCCCTTCACCAACAACGCACATCAAGATCAACATGGGAGACTCTTTGTTTACTTTTTATATTAATTCATATTTTCTAGCATGCAATCAATTGGTTTTGTTTGGGTAATAGCTAGTTCATCCATTTTTGTTCGGTTAACGTGGATTGAGAATGGTATTTAATACATGAAAGTATTCATACAAAATGACTACATTTAATTATGGAATTTTTCCTGAAGCAGCCTTTAAATTTTTTATATTCGTTAAAATGACCCTCTGCTTGCATGTTTCTTAAGTAACATGATGTATCCTGAAATAACCTTGCACAATTCCCAAGTTAATCATATGAGATTCTTTGGGGATTGGTCATTGTTTAGAAATGCCATTACCCTAAGGGTTACGTTGGAAAATTTCTATTTAATCAACGATTCCACCAAAATCAGGACGTGGTAAAGTGTGGAAATTGAGCAGTTAATGCTCTTGGAAATCTAACAGTGAAATAGAAGACCACGTTTATTATGTCAAGTGACTTATAGAACAAAATGGAGGGATTATTACGGCAGCCTGTTTTAAGCGTGTCAAGTGACTGATACAAACCATTCATAGAACAATATGTGTAGTCATTGAACATGTTTCCATTTGATTGAGTTGCAACATAAATGATTTAGTTTGCAGTTTTATGGAAATGATGCCTCTGGAAATGCTTGATTATCCTTTTCTCGTTTTGTTTTGTTATGTTTACAGATACAGTTAGTTACAACCGCGTTTGTGAACTTGCCAACAGGGAGTATAAGCACCTCTTCATCTGAGAATCTATCTAATCTAGGTTTATGATGCTGTAGTTCCATTTGTTTAGCACTTCATGAACATAGTACATAAGAATGTTCAAATGATGGTATTTCGAGTCTTAACGGTCTGTTTTGGTAACGACACTAATTGGAGGGCATCATTCAACAAGCATTGTTATAATATGTGTTCGGATATTCCGTACTGCTAAACAGCTAAATGTTCTGCCATGCATGTAATTCACTGGTATATTGTGGGTATTAACACTAATATTACTGTCACTAACATACTGGTGGTTTTTCTCTTCAAAAAAACATACCGGTGGTTTTCTGAAATATCTAAAAACATTATAACTATGAATGTAGGTTAATACCCCTATATTATGTCCTCCTCTCATTTGCATTGATGCTTGTACACTTTTATTAAATTAATGTACCTAAATTTTTTTGGTCAAAATTACCCTCTACTTCCGTTAGCTAAACTAACAGTGGCTCAACTCGTCCACTAACATTTTTAGGAGGAATACATTACGATTTATTTGATGTTTTGTCAACTTTGTTTAATTTTTAAATTATTTTGTTTAATTTTCATGTTATTTAAATAATGTCATATACAAGTATTTAAATGAATGTTTTACAAAATATCTGATATCTTTAGCAAATTTTGTGTAGGAGAATCTTAGTAACACGGATCGAAAAGAAAATGTAAAATTTTCTAAATAGGAGTAAAAACGTTTTGAAATTCCAATATATGATTGTCATATTTTTATTCCCCAAATAGGAGTACTTTCGATTAGGCATGGCCTCGGTTCGGGCCGCCCGGCCCGGGACCGGCCCGACCCGCTACTGTGCGGGCCCGGCCCGGCCCGGTTATCCGGGTCCGGGTCCGGTTCGGGCCGGAGGCCCGGGGGGTGGGGCGGTTCCGGGCTCGGTTCATGGTTTTGACGGCCCGGCCCGGCCGGTTCGGGCCCGGGTCCGGGCCAAATCTATTTTTTTTTTAATTTTTTTCATTTGTTTTGGGCTGTTGGGCTTGGGCTATCTGTTTAGGCCGGTTTGGGGGGGTTTGGGGGGGGGGGGGGGAAGAAAGGAAAAAAAAAATTAAACCGGGTGGCCCGACCGGCCCGGCCCGGAACCGGACCCGGAACCGGTGGCCACCGGTTCGGGCTCGGGCCCAACAAAACAGACCCGAGGCCCGGCCGGGCCTAGGCCCGAACCGGGCCCGAACCGGCCCGGGTCCATCCATACTTTCGATCAAGTTTGGCGTTACCAGACTTTAAGCATGGTAGTTTTTTTCAAATTTGGCAGAAATTACTTCTATTTAGGGAATACAAACACATGGGTCATATACTCATATTTTGGGTTTTTTAAATGTTTTTACTCCTATTCAAGGTAATTTTTAATTAAAAAGTTTTTTAATCCTACAATTAAACAAAAGGTTAGTCATATATTTTTTATGGCAAAAAAAAGTTAGTCATATAATCAGTTTTTATATTTCAAAGACTACCATTAATATTTTAGTCATTTTTCATATATTTACAAATATTTCATATTTTTAAACAAAAATATAACAAGATCATATATATAATCACATGCTCGTTCAAAACAAATCACATGCTTTTAAATAATAGGCATAGTTTCCACACTATTTGGCAGACAATCAGACATGGAATACTCCTCCGTCCCAATTTGATGGTCTCATATTTCTTTTCTGGGCCGTCCCAAATTGATAATCTCATTTCCCTTTTTGGAAAGAAAGATGTGGTCCACATATTTTCACCCTTTTCTACTCAAATCTCAACCACGACTTTTACCTTTTCAACCACTTTCTTAATCTTTGAGCTCAAAAGCAATGAGACTCTCATTTTGGGCGGAGGTAGTACAAAATATTTCATAAATTATTTACGATAAACAATACGGAGTATTACTTTATATTGGGCAAACTGGACAAACGCTCTCACGCTTTGCGTGAGCAAATGCTAGTTATCATAGATATTACTCGTATAAGATAGCATCCACAGATCCACTCATCCTACACTGCTACACAAGTCTGATGCGAATAGGGGTGGTCCGGGTGGAGTCCAAAATCCAATTGAGGAACAATTTTGTATTGAACGCGTAGTATTTAAAAATATTAAGTTATTAACTACGGAGTAATATTTTACAGAAATTTATATGACTTTTTAAACTGAAACTATTAAACTGAATAGCTCTTAACTAATTTGTATATAATTTTTTTTGTTGGGTCTGAGGGTCACTTTTAGTTTTCATCCACATAAGAACACACATAATACTCCCTCCGGTTCACATTCTTCTTTACAGTTTGACTTTACGGTTTTTAAGGAAATAAATTTGACTTTACTGTAGAACACATTGTTTGGCACTGTTTGGACACTGTTTTGGGTGGATTTGTTTGCAAAATAAGGTAAATAAGGAAGTGTAAAAATGATTCTGGGACGACCCAAAAAGGAAAGTGTAAAGAAGAATGTGAACCGGAGGGAGTATTCTTCAAATTCTGGCTCCAGAGGAGCCATTGCCCCTTCCAACACACAGCATGCGCATACGTTTGCAAACTGTAACTACTCCCTCCGTCCTATTTATATTGTCCCGGAAGAAGGTGGCACGATTATTAAGAAAAGTGGGTTTGTGTGGTTGATATTAATTGATAAAGTAAGAATAAAGTAAGAATGATTTAGAGCCACACAAACATTGCCAAATATGGTATGAGACAATATAAGTAGGACTTCCCGAAAAGGTAAAACGGGACAAAATAAATAGGACGGGAGTATGAGTGAATTGAGGTCACTCTTTGGATTGGACTGACAAAGTGGTTACCGAATAAAAATCATTATATTTTGTTTTGGGTATTTTCTAAAATATATTAAAATTTTACTATTTTATTTGGTTTTATTCGATTTGGTTTCTTTTCATTTTAATACAGTTTAGATGAACGGAATTCAAATTGAACTACATATAATGGTTTCAGATCCATTGGTACCTATTCAATCTAACCAAATTGAATTGAATTGAAATGACAACCCCTAAAACCCTCAATAGATCAGTTTACGTGTCTATAGTTTTTTTTTTTTGAAAGGAGAAAAAAAATCGAGAATGTAAGAACTTGGCGTCAGAATGGCACTAATTGTCAGTTTGTCACAATGGCATTTAACTGTGCAGTTAAAAGCGCAGTTATCTTCAAGAATTCATTTGAATGCCTTCCCGATTGAAGTTTTAACTGAAATTTGGTATGAGTAAACTAGATTTGATGAATAAGATGCTAAAAAAAATTCATCAAAAAATTCCACCGGGAACCACCCCAAATGGCGACGGCCGGACAGACCCTCCTAAATAAGGGCTTATTTGACCTTTTTTGGTTAGTACATGGGCCTATTTGCACCTTTTCCCTAACGAAAATATGACAAAGATACTTATATAAACGGCATTAATTCCAAAATAAGGTTGGAATACAAAATTATTTGCCGGAAAAACTAAGAGGTCGTTTGGCAACGCAGACTTTCGGCTTATCAGACTTATCAACTCAATTTTTCACCAAACATGTAACTTTTTTTCTCACGCGCTGAATTGTGTAATAAGCAGAAAAAGTAAGGTTGAAGTTACTTTTCTGGCTGTATTGGCTGAAGTTACTGTAAATGATCATTTTAACTATTTTTACATATAATTTTTTTTTATTTGACTAATAAAATACTTTATCCGTTTTTACATAAATGCAACGGTCAACATTTCAAATTTGCTGAGGCACACATCTTTGACTATTAATATGTATAATTCTCTATTAGTAAAAAATTTAAAAAATTAATTAGATTTTGAAAATTTTCAATGTGACAAATTTAACAATATTTGTTCCAAAGTAATATATTAATATATGAATAAATAAAAATAGTCGAATTAAAACATGTGAATAGTGTAAAATTCAACATGTTGCATTTATTTAAGAACGGAGGTAGTATATTTCAAAAATATTTTTTTCTTAAATCACCAGAATCAGCCAATACAATCACTTCAGCCAGAACTTCATAAATTTCAGCAAAATCAACCAAATCAGCTGATTTTTGTGCTACCAAACGGGCTCTAAAAATAGTACTACATAATTAGTAACCACTAGTACTATTTTTGAGTATTTTCTAAATTCGAAGAAGATATTACATCTCTCCCTTAAAACATTATCATCTCTACCTTAAAACATTAAAGAATTTATGGAAATATTTTCAATAAAATATATTATTATATAATACTTTGTATTATAAGAATTTATAAATTTTATTATACTTTTATGAAAATATTTTCAATTAAATATATTTTTGTATCATTTTTATATTATATTTCATATGTTTTATTTTAACTAAAATACCTCTCTTTTCACATTTGTCGGTACAAATTTGATCATTAATATATTTAACTCTCTCTATTCGTAAAAAAGATTAAAAGAAATCATATTTTGAAAATTTTATGACAAGACAAATTTAATGATATTTTTCAAAATTTATTGGTTAATACATTAATAAATACTCATAAAAAATTAAAATATAACATGTGAATAGTATAGAATTCAACATGTTACCATAATTTAAGAACGGAAAATAATACTATATATAATTTCTAATTAAAAAATAAAGTTGATGACAATGGAGGTATAACCTTGTCAAACAGTATTTTCAAATCACACAAAAAAAACTTCATTTTTGTGCGCGCGGCTGGAGTAGCGCCACGGATGCGACAAAATTACCGGACCGCCATGGCAGCGCCGAGTGCCACATTTTCAGATCAGGATTCTTCAACGATCCAGAAAGAAAAGGACCATAAGAAGAAGAAGAAGAACTGAAGACGAAGCAATCGAGCTAGCCCTCCGGAAGCAACGATCAAGGAAAAGATGGATCACTACAGGGTATTAGGGGTGAGCCGTCAGGCAAGCAAGGAAGCAATCAAACTAGCCTTCCGGAAGCTCGCCGTAGAATTCCACCCCGACAAGCACGTCAACTCCCCGCCGGACGTGAGAGAACGCGCCACCTCCAAATTCAAGCAGCTCTCCGACGCCTACGACACCCTAATGGACGATCGCAAGCGCGCCGATTACAACATCCGCTCCTCTAACCCTTCTCCCCCCCACGGAAGCAATCGTCATGATAGCAGCTATTATCAATATCAGAGTGGTGGTAATTACCGAAATCCGCGCGGTTATGGCTATAATGACGGTTATACCCACTGCCGCCCTGCTTCCTCCGGCATGAAGTTCGAGTTGCTTTTGCGCTTCATGACTACCAGGAGTTTTCTTCTCAACCTTTCATTTGCTGGGTATTGCTTTCTCTTATTCTTACTGCGTTTAGTCTTTACTTTTGGTTATTTTGTGCATTCAATTGGTTTGGATCATTTGTTTCCTCCTTAGAATTACTGTTCCATTACTATAGTGAAACTGGCTTGATAGGTTAGTGACAAAACCAAACCTAAGATAATGGCCATTGCTATTCTAGTATTCTGTCTTCTTTTCCCTACTCTGGAGGTCAATTCAAAACAAGATTTGATGGATCTATCAAAATATCAATCAAGAATAGTAAAATAAACAACACATGCTTTTTAGGATGAATTCTGGAAAAGTGAAAACCACTAGACATTCGTAGTAAATCTAAGCCACCTCTCGTATTATTTATCACTTCACCATTTTACATTTTTACATATACAAGAAGAAGGCTTCGGAAGCCATTAGTTGAGTTCTAGCTATTCTTGAGATTGGGCAATGGGAGAAGGGGGGATGGAGAGATCTCTTTATGAAGGGATATCCTAGGTATGGAGCTACAAGGCAGGCTTACAAACGGGCTTCTGGAAGCACTCATGAGCTGGGATCCATTATCCTTACACTGACCACAATCCATGACCCAAACTTACTCTCTAAGAATAGAAGAGGAAAATAGAGGAACAGATTCACTTAGGGGCGGTTTACTTGCAACTTAATGAATTTAATGAAATTAGCAACCTGACCCTACAGCCATTAATGAATTTAATGCAATTAGCGACTTAATTAAAAGCATGAATTATTCATTCTGTCAAAAAAATAACTAATTTTTTCTAAACTGATTATGGAATATATTAATGATGGTGATGATTATGGAATATATTTATGAACATATTTTCTAAATTGATTGTTTTAATCAATTGAGATTGTTTATTCCGCTCGCAAAATCAACGACCTCATATACAATATCACTCAATTCAAACATACATCTTAATCCAAATAGGATAAAATACAAAAAATGTAAGCATCCCCTTAGGGAACTCTTGAGTCTTGAAGTCATCCACACGAGTCAGATGCTGACCGGTTAATATGCATTGCATTTTGTTGTCCTTCATGCGAGTGGTGCAAAATATGTATACACATTTAATCAGAAAATGACTAAAGCATATGTCATTTTGTTATGTGTAAGCAAGATACATTGATGCATTATTTTTGTTGGCAAAGGCTTTTGTTAGGTGCATCTATGGGAGTCCATAGCGGTGGAAAGGCACTATGGAAGATGCACAACTCTGGAGTATGTTGTTATTGATATATCACTTCAATTACCTTTTGTTTTACCACCACCACCACCACCACTATGTGCAACAAAATGGTTCTAAGTTATTACTCCCGATCCCTTTTATTGGTTTCAGTATGCTTTTCAGTTAAATTAAGAGTAAAGCTAGTTGTAATAAATACTGTAGGAAAAAGTGGAAAAAGTACGAGGGGTGAAAAAAAGGAAAAGCGGGAAGATCAGTTGAGAAAGTCAGTATATATACTTATTTTAATGTGATGTAGTTTGATAAAATGGAAACCAGAGCAAGTAATTAAACTTTCATAAAAGGAAAGTTGAGCAAATAAAAGCGAACATAGGTAGGTTAAAGGTTCTCCATCTTGGTGGGTTTTGACTTATAAATGAATAAATGATCTCAAATTTGTGATAATTTGAGATCGCGCCTGTGATAATTCTGATCGTGTGTTTCTTCCCACATGTCTTTTTTGTGATATCTTTTCTTTCTAATTAATAAATGCAGAAATCATTTGAAGATGCGATGGAGTCCATAGACAAATCCAAAGGATTTAACGGTGAAAAATAGATTGTTCATGTCATCATGGGTCTTGATGATACTAACTAGAGGGACTAGAGCAGCAAGTGTTTGAGTCCATTTTGTCATAGTCCGATGACAAAAACTACATCATTCTTAATATGAGCAGGAATTAAAAGGTAAGGCAATTTCCAACACGGGTTTAATGTGCATATAAATGTGTGTATTGAGTGGGCAGGTGCTTGTGTGTGTTAATAGAATTAAGGCAAAAAAAAGAATATTTGCATTCATTGGTTACAAAAAGTGGAACATCGATTTCATCAAGACGTAGCAAAACATCACTACGTCTGAACCGTCTGATCAGAGGTGCAAAATCTTGATCTTCCAAGCAGTCATTGTGCTTCTCGCAGCTCGCCTTCTCTTCTCGCTGTACGCAACTCTTCAGCAAAAGTGTTGGGATTGGCAGAAACTTGGATTTGCAATAACCCTGTCATCAAGGTGAATAAGAAGAGGAGGAAGAACAAACAATAAGTGAATCATGCGCTGAATGCTTGAACATGTTTTTATAGCTTTCCATGCAGCATTTTCTTCACCCTCTTTCAGTCTCATCTGATGTGTATGGTCTTGTCAAGTTATTATACTCTTAGCTACTCACTATGTCCCATTTTAATGATCAAATCATTCATATATTCATTTTAATAGATACTATTCATTGATTAAATTCCTCAGCAGGGCTGGACTAAAAACATATAAACGGAAAGATGGTTTGAGATCAAATAAAACAGAAGTAGACAAGCCCAATCTTAAGTGATTCTGACAAAACTTACTAAGAACACCCCATGTTGCTAAATATTAAAATAATGTACTACTGTTCTTTTTTAGTTGTACTATGTTAAATTTTATGCAATTCACAATCTCTACTTTGATTACATTATTTATTACGGAGTAATATACTAGGCAGTATAAATTGAATATCTCGCCTTACCGGGATGTCTTCGTGCACCAGGCTGTGTTTTTTTTATTATGAAGTTAATTATTATGTGTACTTAAATATAATCCTATTTAATTTAAGACTTTTGGATCTTATGCAAGTTTGGAAGTTTTTGATTTCAAAAAGAATAAATTTCAGTTTTGGTCATACACATATGCACCAATTCTACAATTGGTTTGTCTTTGATTTTGATCATTTCTAATACATTGACTATTGTTTTTCGTTCATACTTCTTTCGTTATTCGGTGGCTTAAGATGTGGGAGAGGCGTTAGAAATTGGATGGATGAGGCACAAATAGTCAAAAAACATTAGTCATGTACGAGTACTAAAAGTGGATAAATCGAAGGACACGGATTTAATGTGAAATATAAATAAAAATCATATTTTTTGTTCCAAAAAAGTTGTAATTTTGCAATATAACATTGAGGTTGTTATCTTTCTGTGCTTCGAAAATATTACAAAAGATTCCTGAATTGAAAATTTTCTTGTTTTCTCCACTTTCCATCATGTGTATTGTTTTCTCCGCTTTCCATCATATCCTGAATTGAAATTGAATATGTTGAATACAAGTCATCACAAAAATCTTTGGTATAATAATCATCAATTTCAACAACCATTAACGTAATCTTACTAATCTATAAACTCACCCTCCACAAGTTATATTGTCTTGAGTCGGTCTTTAATTTGTTTTTACTCTCTTGAACCTTGAAGATGGAACAAATTGGGTAGAAATTAATAATTAAACCTGGCTGGACCTCAGATAACAATATTTAAACCCAAACCACTTGGAATTCTTGATCCAGATCAAATTTGATTTTATGGATATTGGATTGGGTTATTCCGATTCTTCATAAAACTTGAACAATTACACATTGTTATCGCAAGAAAAGACGAAAAGGCAATGTGAGAAATACCAGGTATGCATTAATTAAAAAACTGTACCTTGTAACTTCTAATTTCTAAATGGTCAATGACTACAAATCGTACTTTTACAAGAATTAAGTTGAGATAACACTATAACACTAACAACAGACTATAGGGGGATTAAAAAAATCTAGGCAGATTCTGTTTTCACAAGCAAATACAACTCAAAATCATCCCCATCTTTTTAAATACAATACTAGTTTGGGAAAACAGCGGCCTAACCCAATTCATTAATACCAATATATAACAAATAAATAAACAAAATGCAAATGATAATGAGCAGAAAGTGTGTGTGTGTGTGTACATCTTCATGCGAAGGGGTTTCCGCCAATAGGAGCAATAGGCCCTTGTGTTGGCAAATCATTCCTGCAAAATAATGAACAAAGTGAAATAGCACATAACAAATCTATTAAAGAGCAATCTCTCAGAGAAATACTTCCAATGTTGCTAAGAGAGGCATTCATAATAGCCGCCTAAACCTTGACAACAAGGATGGGAATGGAGTGGGGGATACCCCCATCCCTGCATTGCCATGTTGTCCCGTGGGCACCCCATGCTGGTCTCCCAAAGAGGAGTTCGCAACTTCAAGTCTCATCCCCAATCAAGGATGTTGGCATTGTCATGAACAGATACTATAATAGGCTTAGAAGGATTATTAAAAAAAAGAATATATATAATATTGAAACCACTTAATAAAATTATTTTCTCAAGTCAACAAACTTTGTCAAGATTATAACAAAAGTATGAGTTAGTATCATTACTATAGTAAGATTTGTATGCGTTAGTATCATTACTATAGTAAGATTTGTTATTTCCATCATGTGTAGTACTATTCATTATATGCTAAACAATTAAGTTTTATCTGTACACATGTGTACATAAGGAGTAATATGTTTGTGCAATTAATTTTTACAAGGATGGACTCACGGTTGGCTGCCTGTAGGTTGTGCTGAAATGAATCCCGAGGTATCTGCATTACGAGCAGTCATAGAAACTGAAAAAAGACCTGACAACATAATGAGTTGGAAATATTACTCTTCAATTCACTATTACCTTCTCCCGAAGCTGAAACGTAAGATGCAACTGAATTCTGTGAAAACCAAGACGCTCTTACATCGCCACCAACAAAGGACGTAGGCATCTTTCCATTTGGCAATCCAGCTTGTAAGGAGCTCATGTCCCAGAAATCGGGCTAAAAGTGAAAAGGTCACATGTTCAGACACAGGACATATCTTATGACAGCAATATGCTATGTAAACTGAAATATTAATTTAGCACCGATTTAGGCATTGATTATAGGAAATAGGTAAGATAGACATGAAACATCTTCTTTAATCATGTTTACGTTCCATAATAACTTAAATGGAGTAACCTTGTTTGAATATTGGCAGTTTGGCACGCTAGCCAAGTTCAGGTAACATGGAGAATACACAATAATGCAATTCATTAATCTTCTGCTTAGATTAAGATTTCCATCCGACTTAATTATTTATTTGTTTCTTTATTTTGGTCTTCCTTTTTGAAACCTTTCAGAAAATTGTTTTGATTCAATGACAATTCTGCATATGTTTCTAGTCTCCCGTTTCAAATTAATAAAGAACGGTTATCTAAGATATCTTAAATTTCATCGGGTGCAGTTGAAAACTTATGTTTAATTTAAATGTGTGTTTGATAGTGTTAGAAAATATGACTCAGGATTCAATTAATCGTATATGTTAACTTTAATGTGTTTTAATTGTGACTTAGTATAAACTATAAAGAATGTCTCACAAAAAGGTTTAGTGAAATCCTTCAAATTTTGTTACATTCTGTAACGGCAGTAAGAATTATGGAATACATCATATGTTTAAATAAAAAACATGAAACCACATTTCCTGTCATGCTGTCATCCTGTGGCTCAATATAGATGTTGTTGGCAATGACTTACATATAAGACACACGATAAGTTGGGACTTGGGAGAGCTGACTTACCGTACTGTTGATTTGCATGTGAGGTTCATAGGGGAGATCAAATGGATTGGTAGATTTGCTGTTTGCAAGTTCATGTAATCCGCCCTGTAAGTGAGCAGCTTATTGTGAAATTAGAAGATGAAGAGACAAATCATAGACTCCTCAAGAGATATGGTTGCAAAAAGGAACCTACATATGATGATATGGTTTTGTTGCCAACTTCCACTTCTGTTCTTAAAATTCCATGATCAGCAAAGTTCTACACGATAGAAACTTATTAGAAATGCAATAACCAAACAATCTGTTAGCAGTTATAGAAAGGTTTAGTTACCTCTGATCCTTTTAACCCCAGATACTGATCAGTAATAGGAAGATGGCTGGTTAAAACCTCTTGAGTACTAATTTGATCCCTTGGTAATGCTAAGAAATCACTGGAACTCCCAAATGCTTTCCATGGCTGCACCAGAGGTAAAAAAAGAGCTAGCATAAGTTGTGTTCAACATACATTCCTTACAAACAGAAATCATGTCTACTACAGTAATTAGAGTATCTAAGCTCAACCACAGGTGCCTCTCAGTTTTCTGTAGTTCTGCTTCAATTATAATCACTTGCCTCAGAGCTTCCATGTAGGGTCGCTTCATTATTTTGGATGCCTCCATGTAATGGGGCAGGCATTGATGGATGTCCTCGGACGTCGGGATGCGGAAAGAATAGTCCACTCAAGGGAGATGAATGATGGCTATAATTTTCTAAAGAGCCAGAGCCAATTTGTGCTGTGTGATTTGGCATGTCAAACGCTGCCCAGCCACCATCCATGTGGGTAACAACATTTGATGGACTTTTGTTGTATACTGCATCTGACTGCTGATGTGGCATCCCAGAGAAAAGTTTTAACGGGTCAGGTAAAGGTGCTGCAAAAGCTGGTGTAAACTTCTCATTTCCCACAGGTGCATTGTGCTGAGGCGTGTCAAATGTCGCCCATCCCTCATTTTTCAAGGTGTTGCCAGATGGTGCAGCTGATTTCTGATTAGGAACCTCTGATGAGAATAAATCAAAACCTGATGCAGGAATGTGTGACACTTGATGTGAATCAAGACTTGGATTGGTTGATGCAGAGAGCTGCTGAAACAAATCAACTGAAGAAGTTGAAGATGACTCTGTCAAATGAGCAACGTTTGAGACTGAAGGAATAGTTTGTGAAGTTCCAGGTGCATTACGTATGTCCACCGGTAAGTGTGGCAAAGAAGGTAAAGCTGACAATTTATTGTGGTGGGTTTTGGCTGAATGTTCAGGCTCTGAACCAGCATCAATTAAATCAGAAGAGCTTACTGAATTGAAAGAAACAGAGTTGTCAAATGATCCAAAGCTTCCTGATGATGCAGTTCTCTGAAATAAGCAAATTAATGCACCAGCTTTAGGGGAAAGTAGGACACAATAATGGAGAAACACCATTCTTAAAAGATAAGTACCAAACAAAAGCCAGTTTACACTTTAGACAACATAAAAAGTAATAACTGTCTAAACTGAGAAATGCGAAACGGAAAATGAGAGAAACTGTACTTAAAAATATACAGGATACGATATAAGAAAGAAATAAAGACATAAATGTAAAATTATATTGCATTTTACGATACAATAACGAAAGAGTAAATATAAAAACATGGGGAAACGCATAAATATAAATGTATAGGGGGATATGTAAATATTTTTTTCATTTACATTTTGTTATATAACCAAAGATAAAATAGTCTGCACGTTCAAATATAGACATTATTCACATATTAGTACATAACCAAAAATAAAAAATGCAATACATTTCAAGCAACCGATTCGCAGTGAAATGTCATATAGACTGATAGGGACCTACCTATTAGAATAATTTTAGAAGTAATAATAATAATATTAGTAATAAGGGTCTCTAGTATAAATAGAGGGGAAGGGGAAGTAGTATGGAGGCTTTTGGGACTTTTAGTCTGGGACTGGGAAAGATTAGAGGATTCTTTTCTCTTCTCTTTTGGGAGGCTTCGGCCTAGGTTACTGTACTGTTCATCTTCTTCAATAAAGAATTTCAGTTGATTTTTTGTTAAATTCCTGTCAATTGTTCTGGATAATTGGAGGATCATATCATTGGTATCAGAGCCTTACTTCCTGGAGATGGAGAATCTGAAGCATGGAGGAGGATTTCTACATGACACCTCAAATGGAAGAGAGTTTTGATAATATTGACCGACTGATGAGAGAGTCAAACGCTAGGTTAGCGACGATGATGGCTGATATGCAAGCGAAGATGCAAGCTGGCATCGCAGAATTGCAGAACTGACTTAAAAGTTGTTCGCGGAATCGATCGCACAAATCGCATAGGTCGCATCGCGATTCTCTTCATCGACGTACGCAACATCCGATTGACTCAGAGGAATTGGAAGAACAGAGTCTTCGCAGAAGACCTGGAGATCGATCGAGGAACTTCAGCCCTGAGCCGCTATCACCGATTGATTCGCAGATGAAATCGCGAACTTCTCATATTCCTCGGTCACGAACCTCATCTTCCAGTTCGCAATCGCGAACTACTTATTTTGGTTCGCACTCGCGAACTTCCGATCGCTATTCACAGACGCGAACAGTTTCTCTCCACTCGCAGACTTACTCCTCAGATATCAATATGCGTTCAAGAAAGAAGCTAGGGAGTGGAGAATCATCATATTCGTCGCCAAAGGATTCTCACAGTTCACCTTCTTCGTCAAAAGTCAATTCTCGGAAGTCAGCAATTTCAAAGGAGGAATTACCTCTATTCTACGAGCATGAAGCATATGAATGGATTGAGAAGATGGAAAGATATTTCCGAGTCCAAGCTATAGCAGAAAGATTTAAAGTGGATGTGGCAGCGAAGGCTATGGGGGAAGAAGCAGATGGCTGGTTTCAATGGTGGGATTTTCAAAAGAGAGAAGACAGTTGGGAGGCACTAAAAGAAGATTTGATTAGGGATTTTCCACCTAGACACCGGCAGAAGACAGGGAAGACGGCAAAACATGAGTCATCCAAGTCACGAAGAACTTCCAGTTCGCAATCGAGAACTTCTTCATTCAGTTCGCAGGAATCATCGTTAAGCAGGCAGCGAAAACAGGAGTCATCGAGGTCGCAAAGAATTTCTCGTTCACAAGTTTCTCAATCAGTGCTAGAAATTTACCAGCCCACAAAGAAGACCCAGATGGAACCAAATGAACCTGTAATCATGCAAGTGAATGAGAAAGACGAAATCAAGGAGGAAAGACAGGAGGAGGAGGTTGGGCTTGTTTCAGGAGAATCTGCTATCATTTTTGGAAATCCCAAACAGATTCATGATGCTGACAAGTCTAGTTTCGTTCAGGAGATGAACTGGCTGAATCTTTTAAAATCTGAAATGATATACTGTCATTCATTAAACATTTCTTTGGAAGGGCTGAAATCATTGAACAAGTTTGATAGTTTCAGATATGAAGGTATTACTTCTATGATGGGTAATAAAAAGGGGTTGGAAGGAGAGATTTCTGGGAATGTTAAGGGATATGTGACTGGTTTGGAAATTGTTAGTGAAGTGGTTAGGGGACTGCCAGTAGATTGTATACAAGTTCAAGATAGAAGTGTAGGTTTTGATTACAAGTTTCTTATGGCAAGTATTGATCCAAGACACAAAATACTCATGAAAAGAGGTATGAACTGGAAAGAGGACAATGTGTTGAGCACCATTGTTTTTTTGACAGGGATGGGGAAGTCATTCATTTCATTTTCATTTACCCCAGTGCCGCAAAGGCTCCCACCTATGGTGGGGTAAGGGGGGGTCGGATGTACGCAGTCTTACCCCTGTACAAAAGTACAGAGAGACTGTTTCCGGATGACCCATAGTGAAAATCGCGTCCAAAATTGCATGGACTGACTGCTGGTTCATAACAAAGAAGCGCAGATAGTTTAGTGAGCCATTTTGCTTTATTCCATCATATTCGCAAGCCAAAAAATAATGAATCTTTGGCTCCATTGCATATGATGGAAAGGGATGGGGAAGTATGTTGCTGAAATTTTTGAATATCCGTTGGATCAAATCAGTATGGCCCGGGATCCTACTACTCAGGCTACTGTTAATAGATGGGAGGCTGTAGCAAATGGACAGGTGAAACTGAAACAAGGCTTGAAAAGTGAATTGTTTTCTTCTGATGAAGAATCTGTCTATCTTCAAGAAAACCTACTTTGGAAGTTTTGCATGGATAATAGGCTTTCCTGTTCCTCAGTTAGGAGAAATGCAACTGGAATAGTGGATATCCTTACCTACCTGCTAAAACCTTTGAGGTTTTCCTTCTCAAATAAGTTGGCTACTGAAGATGCTGAAATTTCAAGAAGTGAAGCAACTGAAACTCAAAGATTTGAGTTATATCCTATAGCAAGAGCTACTAGCGCATGGAAGAATGAGCAAGGGATGGTGGGTGAAGATCAGTACCAGCATGATCAAAGACACAGACCTAATATTGATGATTGGAAGGAAAAGGAGCTAATGCTGTTTTTGCAAGAAGCGGTGAGAAGGAAGATTCAAGTCATGAAGTTTAGGATCCTGACATTTGAAAGATATTGGGAAGGAAGAGGTGCAAGGAAGAAGAAGAAGAAGCAGAAGATCTGAGGGCAAGGTGGATGTTTAAGGGGGGAGTATTGATAGGGACCTACCTATTAGAATAATTTTAGAAGTAATAATAATAATAATAGTAATAAGGGTCTCTAGTATAAATAGAGGGGAAGGGGAAGTAGCAGGGATGGATTTATGTGCATGGGTAGGGGGGCCATGGATGAACTTACAAAGTCAATTCAAGACGATATACCGTGGTGCATGATGTTTGCCGACGATATTGTATTGATTGATGAGACGCAATCAGGGGTTAAAGCAAAGTTGGAAGTATGGCGACAGACATTGGAGAACAAGGGTTTCAGACTAAGTAGGAGCAAGACAGAGTACATGGAGTGCAAGTTTGGTGGAGGTAGAAGCAGTGGTAATAGCAGAATTACTTTAGATGGTAAGGAGATACCAGTCAGCGATATGTTCCGTTATTTGGGCTCCATAATTCAGAATGACGGTGAGTTAGATGGAGATGTATCCTATAGAATCAGAACAGGGTGGATGAAGTGGAAGAGTGCGTCAGGATTTCTATGCGATCGAGGTATGCCGACTAGACTGAAGGGTAAATTTTATAGGACAGCAATTAGGCCGGCATTACTGTATGGCACAGAGTGTTGGGCGGTGAAACAATGTCACATTCAAAAGATGAGTGTGGCAGAGATGCGCATGCTGCGTTGGATGTGTGGGCATACTCGAAAGGACCGCGTGAGGAATGAGACAATTAGACAAAGGGTGGGAGTAGCACCTATTGAAGATAAGATGCGGGAGTCACGCCTACGGTGGTTTGGTCATGTGCATAGAAGACCGAGTGATACACCTGTCAGACGAGTTGAGATGTGTGGAGAAGAGGTAGGGAAGAGAGGGAGAGGAAGGCCCAAACAGACGTGGGTTAGGGGAGTCAGAAGTGATATGCTTCTTCTTGGATTGGATGAGGGTATGGCTTTGGAGAGAGCAAAATGGAGGGCGGGTATTCGTGTTGAGGAGTGATCTTGTATCATCTTTTTTTTTTCTTCTTCTTCTTCTTCTTTTTTTTTCCTTTTCTTTTATATCTTTATCCTTATATATAAATATTACTTTATCCTTTTTATTTGATCTTTTATATGTATATTCATCTCTTTTATATTATCTTTTTTTATAATAGCTTATCTTTTTTATCTTTATTTTCTTTCTTTTCCTTTTGGTGATAATATGATATCATATATCGATTCATGTTAGCCGACCCCAATATCATTTGGGACTAAGGCTTGGATGTTGTTGTTGTTGTTGTTGTTGGTAGGGGAGCCATGGCCCCTCCCAACTTTTTTATTTTTTAGTAATACTACTATTATAAATGAAATAATCAATAAAGATTGGGTCAAAATTACTCGATAGAAGCTTTAATGTGAGATGCTTTCGGGTAGAATTTTTTGATGAATTTTTGTGAACATGTATTTCATAAAGTGTATATTATATCCATCGTATTTCAGCTTACATGCAATTGGAGAGTCAATTAAATAAATTATGGAAAAACACCGAGTTTTTTTATATATTTTTTGGTACAATGTTTTTCAATAATTTATTTAACTGATTTGTCGATTGAATTTTAAACTGAAATTAGGTGTAAATAATCTACACATCATGAAGAATATTGTCATAAAATTTCACCCAAAAAATCCATCCGGAAGCACATCAAACACAGAATATTGTCATGTAATTCTGAAAGGATCATTCCTCATTAAAAATATGAAAAAATATGTTTTACTCCTTGAATAGATCTTATTTAGTTCTATTAAAAATTATTAGAATAAAGTTTGCCAAAATAGGAGTCAATAAGACCTATTTTGAGATTAAAACAATGATAATCCTGTTTATAATTTTTTTTTGTCCTATTTAGAGATTTTGTTCTTTAGTGTTTGTGTTTGTTCTTTGCCCCCCTTATGACTGAGTTCTGGCTCCGTCCCTGGGAAGTAGTATGGAGGCTTTTGGGACTTTTAGTCTGGGAAAGATTAGAGGATTCTTTTCTCTTCTCTTTTGGGAGGCTTCGGCCTAGGTTACTGTACTGTTCATCTTCTTCAATAAAGAATTTCAGTTGATTTCTTGTTAAATTCCTGTTAATTGTTCTGGATAATTGGAGGATCCTATCATAGACTATGTACTATGAGGACTGTTAATCCTTTTCTGACAAGACATGCTTAGCAAAAGTGCAAAACAATGCCTTCGTTGCATCTTTTCATGTGGTTTCCCTATCAAGCACATCATATTGGTACTGTCCTCTTTCCATGGGTGGTGGTACGGATTTTTTAATTATCTTCTGACTACCATATTTAACCAAACAGTGCCTTTGTTACATCTTTTATGTGTCTTCCCTATCAAGCACCTTCTATCCCCCCCCCCCCCCCGCCAATCTAGAAATGACATATGGATGTTAGCATAACCTGTGTACGGCCAGGAAACCCTGTATCTTTTTGGTAGTTAGGAGACTGCACCTCAGATCTAAACGGATCGCCTCCACTAGAAACAGAGAAATCTGAAGTTCTAGTATTAGAACCCTCATTTGCAAACCTGTCCTCATGCATATGGTCACTCAGATGACTAGGACTTGAGAAACTAGAAACTTTTCCATCATAAATCCCTCTATCTGAACCAGGTTTTCTTGTAAGAGTAGGCCCGTGCTTTCCATAAATCCGTTCCTCATACTGGAAATCATATGGCGGACTTTGAGAATAAGAATGATAGGAACTTGCCCGTCTCGACTCATCTTCATGGCCTCTAAGATTCTGGCAAGTCAAGGCATATCCAGCCAATTAGTTGGGAAAAAACATGACAACGCTACAGCATAAATCTCCAAGAGTAAAAACAATGGGTAGTTTGCACCAAGATACAGTTTCAAGAACGTTACTTGTGTATCCCTTGGCGGTCTATCCAACGACTGTCCCCCATCATATCTTTTATCCACAAAAACAGCCTTTATAAATTCTCGGACTTTTTCAACGTTACTGAAAGTTGAAAAAAGTACTGAAAGTTAGAACAACCAAAAATTATATTACCTATGTGGCTCTGTCCTATTGGGCATTACAAACTTTGAATTAGGTGAGAAATAAGAAAAGTAAAAATGGTGTGGTTGAGGTTTGTGCAAAGGAGAGAAAAAAGCAGAACAACAAAATAGTTACTTTAATGGGAAAGAGGCAAAGTTTTTGGGACAACCAAAAAAGAAAGTTGGCAAAGTCCAATGGGACGAAGGCAGGACTACGAATTTGAAATGTCTAGGCAGGACTACGAGTTTGACGCGTCTAGGCAGATTTATATACCTGTTAGCAGGTAACCTTTGCCTTTGGAGATCCCAACTTTTTAGATACGTCTCCCTCGCTCGCTGAAAAATTAACAAACTATCAAGAACACATTAGATATTTGATAGCTAATTGACAGAGAGCAGATTCAAACATGTGTAACCTGATTACCACCCTTTTGAAGAGCTTCGACTTCTTGCGAAGTAAACTTTGCCATTGATACAGACTTGACACGATGAGTAAACTCGCGACTGCAACAGAACACAAGCTAAAATAGATTAAGGAAAAAGTGGAAATACTGAAGGATTTTCATGCTGCAACTTAATACAATTTATCTGTTACATAAAAAATAATGGATGCAGCTTAAAATTTGAAGAACAGCATAGCCACATCGCCCTTTTCAAAGTCCTATTGCAACATTGCCACATCAAAACCTAACTAAACTACCATTTGTCAAACTTCACTTGGCAAATGGAGAAACCTATGACAAGTCCTGTGAACTTCATACTTCTGGAAGTAAGTGCATTTAGATATTAATTTGCAAAGTCCCAAATATTGCAGGTTTGTATCTAGAATACTAATGACACAAGACTTTTCTAGAATTTGCGAAAAGCAGAACTGATGGAGCTCTACATATAGTTGGAAGGGGGAATTTATTTACAATAATTCCCTGCACACCAAGTCTCTCCAAATTCAATACATTTTCAAATACTGTTCATCAAGGTCACACTGCTTTACAGTAATTGTCAACTAAACTTACCAAAGCTTCATCTTATTCACTTCAAAGAGAAAATTATTCCTTTTTTCTAAAAGGAGACGAAGAGTCAAATCAGAAAAATATAATAGTAAGAATACAGTAATAGGATCATTAGAAGACAATTTTGTAAGGCTTTTCTTAATAATAATGAATATAGTTTATGAACAAAAATGTGTCTACAATTACTATGAGTATAATTACATGATCACCGCAGCGTAAAATTGAACATAATCAACAACAGTCAAGCCTTAGTCTGAAAAGAATTTGAGGTCGGCGATTTATAAAGTCATGCGTAAAATTGAACATAATCATGTTCATTACATTTCCTACAGTGGTCCCTACGCATTAAAAGTAACATTGTTTGTCCACTATAGTATTATAGTCATATATTGGTCATCATTTCATTATATGAAGAATTGTGAGGAGGGGGGTTATAAAAATTTTTTAAGTGATATAATAATGAGGAAAATATTTGAGATTTTGAGAAAACTCTTGGTGCCTCTAGTCTTGAGTTTATCTCTAACAATAGTATTGCCTCAAGAAAGTATCTAGATAAGACTCTTTATACGTATTTTATTTTATTTTAAGATAATAATTTTATAGAGTTTGGCCCATGTGTTTAGGTTGTAGACTAAAGTAATGGGTGAACCACATAGAAAATTCACGGATAAAGTATCAATTTTGTGGATTATTTGCATTTTGCCCCAATGCATCATAGTGCACAGGGGCCAACCAGTGTTGTATGAGCCCAAATCTAAACGATATATCGAAGCTGTGCAGAGAGTTGCTTTGTATGTTCAACTGTTCATCAAGCGAACAAGCAGTGACATGTCTTATGGTAAATGACAACAACACCATATGCCAAGGATTTGATGATTTGTTGTTGAATAGAAAGTCACGTTCATATAGTTGGTGTTTAAGGAAAGGGCAGTGGGGTTACCAAACACCTCCCACATTACAGAGATATGAAAAAAGATATTTCTGGTATAAGCATGGACAAATACTCCATTAGCTTAAAACTTTCTTGGTGTGTTGGTGGTGCTTCCTCAATAATACTGGATTGCATTGGGATCACATAACTCAACCAGAACTTGGGCCTAACCAAACTAAAGTTGAATCTCATAAATTAGCCAGTTCAACTCAAGGTCTTACGAACTCACCTTATTAAGATTGTTGTGGAACTCTAACATTTATTTAGTCCTAACACAGACAAATATCATAGTAGTCCAGAGTTATGTATATAGGATGCACCAGCAAACAATACACAGAGTCTATAAACTATTGGTACAGTCTATAAACTCTATACTACATAGTACTCCGTATTTTTCTTTTCATGAAAATACGCGGAAGAAAACCCAAGAATAAAACTTAAAAGTTAAAATGAACAATAAATAATGTGAGCTGATACCTAAGGAACAATTAGGATCCATAACATCAGAACATAAGAAGTCACTTTTGTTAACTGATAATCACTTACTGTATTCCACTGCAAGTCACACAAACAAAAGTCCAGAAGTTTGTACAGACATACTGGGGTCCCTACAAGAACAAAATTTTGAGCTGGGACTGTTAGAGCTAAAGTAACCAATAGAACTGAAAATTGTCTAAAAACAAAATAGTCAAACCAATGATCTTATATATTTTGACAATATTTTATTGAATCTGGAATCTTCACATACTCCGTATTTAGTAGAGAAGAGACGAAAGCACACACTAGAAACTGGAAAAATAGTGCTTGGAAAGTAAAATTGAAATAAAAAACAAAGAAGGTGAAGCAAGGAACGGCGCGTACCAAGCTGTCGCAGTTAAAGCATCGGCGATTGGGAGGGAGTTTCATGAGCCCGCGGATGATCTTCTCGTTCCGCTCTTCTTCTTTTTTGTTGCTCATCTTCGCACCTCACCCCCGGCAACTCGATTCTGCAGTTAATTTCTCCTGAAGCGAACGAATTTACTCCAGAAACAGAAAGCCGGAAATTAAGCCGAATATACGGGATACGAATCCAAAGAAGTATGCACAGCATTCATGGAGAGAGAAATTGAGCGGAAAGGTAACAGTAAGATGAGCTCGGAACTTCTCTCTCCCCTGCTCTGGATTTCAATTTCGGATCATCAGCATCTATGGATCTACTCCATCTGGAGTAATAAGCAGCTGTGCTGTTTTATATGTTATGCTATAAAAGGGGCAGTAATCATTGATCGACAGCAATAATTTTGTCCAAGTTTTTCAATTCCTTGTTTCTACTGTTACCTCCAAACTATCCAATTGCAGATTTGCAGGGTAATTAATTGAAATTTTAAGGAGTGCGAATACTAAAAAGGATAAAAGGGATAACATTAAGCTTACCAAAAAAAGATAACATTAACAAATGGTTCATTTGAACTGAAATTTTTAGATTCCGCCTGATCTGGTTTAATTTATCTGTAGCATTGTTAATGTAATATGCTTTGCTTCATTTTTAACTAATCCTGTCATATGGTATGCGTATTTTATTACGTAGTGTAATGTTCCAATTTCATTAATTTGATTTGTGTCTAATTTGATATGTTTAAGTTTGATCTTATTTGATTTGATATGTTCTACTTTTTCATTGAAATTCGATAAATAAATCATGATCTCATTCAAAATATTAATGAGGATAAGTTCACTATCCAACTTGCTTGATGAGATTCGAGTATAAATAGTAGATTGATGGAATATTGGAATTGGAATATGAAAAAGCATAAAGGAAGTGAGAATAATTGACAAATTCATTTACCTTGTTACGGACTTATACGAGATTTAGAAAAAGAGTAGATCAAAAAATTAGTTGAAGTACTTAAAGGAAAGATAAACTCGAAAACATTTTAATTCTAATAAAAATAATAGGTAGATATAAATGATATACAAAATTAGACATTAATCACCTAATCTTCCATTGGAGTTTTTCTTTAAAAAAACATTCAACAGTGATATTGTATTATTGTTTGTTTGGGAATCATCTAGTCATAGAGGCTCACATTCTCACTGATGTTAAAATTGTGACAATGTTGTGACAATAGCAATATCGGTATTTGCTATAAAATGACATTGTTGGACGGTAAGGGACAAACGTAACAATGTTGGATAAATGTCACAATGTTAAAAAATCATCATAGTGTCAAACATGATCATTATAAATATTGTCAAAACAAATATTGCACAATATTATTAACATTGTCAAAATTAAAAATTGTCACAATACCGAAAAATGTTACAATGTCACAAAAATGCCACAATGTCAAGCATTATCGTTATAAGAATTGTCAAAATAAACAATGTCACAATATTTTGAACATTATCAAAATACGGGAAAAATGACTTAATCTCACAAAATGACAAAATGACAAACATTGTCATTATAATTAAACTTCTCTTCACATTGTCATCATGTGAAAATTAAAAGCTCCATATTATTGTAATATGTACAATACATTGTCGACATTATGGCATTATTATAAACATCGTCATTACAAAAATGGTCGCGATATACAAAAATGGTTGCGATATTTTAACATCAAACACTCATTTCGAGAAATAATATTGTCGCCACAATCATTACAAAATCCGTGACAATTTCATGGCATTGTAAAATTGATAATGTAATTCGTGTTATTGGCTCGGACAATACAATGAAAATAATGTTCCAAAAATCTAATTTCACCACAAATATCACATTGTCACGATATATATTTTAAGCATTGTTACATTGTTGAAAACATGTAATACTTTACATGACATTTGTTGATCCTGGGGACATTGTCACCAGCCTCAATATAAATTGTAGCAACGCAATATCGTTGTGAAAATGTAACTATATAATCGAATACCATTATCTAACAAAAAAACGAAAATATTGATGTTAAATTTGATGTTAATAAGGAAACTCAAACTAAAAAACGAAAAAATGATACATATATTACTACTACTTTTTCAATTCCAAAAATATTAACAATATAGTCATATTTATACTACGTATAATATTTCTTATTTTGATATTATATGGAGTATTTTTATATAATTAAGATAAACCACGATCTAACAACCACACCGGGGTAGCACCATTGCCTTGCCACCATCACCGACGGCTAGCATATGTGACTTTAAGGTCATAAATCAATTAGTGACTCCGCCTAAGTCGATACCGTTGTCAATGAAATTAATGTCGTATATTAGCGACTCTGGCAAAACCGCATCCGCCACTACTGTTGCCTTCGTCAACGACTTAAAGGGCACCCATTATGGGGAGATCATTGGGGATCAAAAAGAATTTGATGGCACTTGATCCTCGCTATGGGAGGTAATTAATTGATCCATCAAATTAGTAGCTCAAGAATGAGAGCTGGAAAAAAAATTGACTAATCAATTGAATGAAGTCAAGTGACTTTTGTCCATTTGAAAGGGGGTATCGGCCGAGGAGAGGAATTCTCCCCCCAATCAAGATAGCCACCAACCCCATCAACTACCCCCAACTCCTTAATTGAATTTATTATGCATTAAATTTAATTTAATTTACAAAAAATTATACCAAAAAATATATTAAAAAAACTTCTATAAATAGACACTAATGAAGGATATGTTTAGTCACTTCGAAATTTACCACTTCTTTCCCTCTTGCATCTTATTTTATCTGTTTTAGAATATTTCCCCCCTGAAAATGGATTCAAACCGTCCCCCCCCCCAGATACCGTACCAACAGCCCCTCATTCCAAGAATTTCTCATTCTGCACAACAATCTTCCATAAGAAAGTTTCAAATTGATCCTGCACTATTGAATTTTGAAATGACTATGCAGCTATTGCAAAATAATTCTAATTCTGTACAATATTCCCATGCTACTCATCCATTAAATAATGGACCATGTTTATTCACTCCAAAAATAAACTATTTTCCACAAGATCTGAATCCTTTTCCTAGCCAGCAGATTTTTTTTCTCCTCCACTAGCACAAAACTTCAATGGTATGCCTCACATGAACTTCAACCATGATCCTTCAATGTTTGCTCGTGAGACAAGTCGTGAAAATGTGACTTCTGTTAATCCTGGAGATGAGGAGGACGAAGTTGAGGCAAACACAGAGTTTGTGTCATCACCGAGAAAGAGTACGAAGAAAAAAGACGGAGGAGCCAATATGTCGATTTCTTGGACCATCCCGGAAGATATGGCCTTAAATGGACATATATTCATGCTGGCGGAGACGTCTCAAAAGGTACGGATCAAAAACACCTCACACATTGGTCAAGCATAACAAAACTTTATATGGATGCACAACAGGAGCAACCAAAAAAACTAAGGATGAGAACGTTAGAGTCATGTTGTAACTTGTTCAAACGTGCAAGCACGCTCATAAGCAAATTTGCCGGAAATTATGATGAAGCCGTTCGACATCGTAAAAGTGGGTAGACTGAAGAAGATGTTATAACCGAGGCGAAGTGCCTCTTTCGTGCGGACCACAACAACAAAACTTTTCGCTTTGAACACATGTGGAACATATTGAGAAATTATCCTAAATGGGTTGTGGATCTAACATGCAAAGTTCTTCCCAATTTTGTGAAAGTGGATGAAGTTCTAAAAGAACACGAATGTATACGAACGAAGATTTACCGAGTGAGGAAATGCCTATGCCATAAGGAGTGAAAAAAGAAGAAGAAAAGGTAAAGTTCAATATTCGTCAGCCGAATCATTTGAAAATATGACAAATGCAATGGCAAATTTGAACAAACAAAGGGAGTCATAACAAGTTGTTAGCATGGAACACATTGAGTTACGAAACAAATGATTGAGCTTCAAAGGCAATGACGGGAGGATAGACTCAAAGAGAAAGAGGAGTAATGCATTTAGAAAGAAAGAGATCAAAGATTCCACATGTTCACGACTCTCGTGGGAAAGTCCTCATTAAATCCACGAGAAATGGAGATTTATGAGCGTTTGTACGAGGAGTTCAAGTGTAGTTTCTAAATTGTTTTTCTCGTACTTTATTTCTATTACGAATAAATCTTTGTTATGAATAAGATGTGTTCAAGTTTTCATTTGAACTTTATTTTAATAAAAGGTATTATGTGTTGACATTTTATTTTGTTATATTTATTGTGTAATTTATTAATTTTGGAATTTACTACACACATAACATCTCCCACCAATTAAATACGTACGTCATAAATAAATACACACCTACCAAATAAATGCATACCTATCAACTAAATGCACCTACCAACTTCTTACTTACCTAAAAAATAAATGCATATCAACTAACATAACTCATATCAACCAGATCTACTAGTCTAAATCACAACTATTTAATGTGGACACTACGTTATAGAAAAACACACCTCAATTGAACCCCTTGAATATGTCTTCATCCTCTACCTCCTCCAACTCCTACATCGATGAATTTCAAAGCGAACTTGATGAGTTCGTCAAGTTCAATCAAGATGTTGACGCGTGACGTGAAGAGAGAAGGGAGGTAGAGAATAGCATAATAATTAATTTACCTCAATGCTAACACAAACAATTGAGCGTCCAATCCAAAGGCGACGCTACTTGCATAAGCACCGTGACAATGCTCATAAACGTCTAATGTGTGATTACTTCATCGATATCCAACATATGGACAACATGAGTTTCGTCGTCGATTTTGTGTGCGTAAATGTGTCTTTGAGCGAATCATGAATGCTTTGAGTGCACATAATTTGTTCTTTCACCAAAAGCGAGGTGTTGTTGGTCGAGTGAGATTACCTGTGCAACAAAAGTGCACTTGTGCCATACGCCCATACGGATATTGGCGTTTAGAGTTATGCCAGATATTTTAGGCGAGTATCTCAAAGTTGCAAATGCAACTGGAAGTAATGTCTCCTTCAATTTGTTGAAGGGGTCCAACCATATTTGGACCCGGGTACCTTCATAGGCCAAACAACCAAGACGTCACACAACTTCTTGCGGAGGGTGAAAGTCGGGGATTCCTTGGCATGATGGGTAGTCTTTGTTCCATCCATCACTGCCCCACAAATTGTCAAATACAAACTTTTTGCACAACGACAAGAGGGTGCGAGAAAGGATGTGGAACGAGCATTCAGAGTGTTACAAAGCTTGGGATAAACAACTATTGGGAAAAATAATGATGGCTTGCATTGTTATGCACAACATGATTGTAGAGGATAATAGGGAACAAGGAATTGAGCATAACCATGATGAAGGTCTAGTGTCTCTTGATAGCTTAATTACTAATA